ATGATTTTGGGGTCGGCAACCCAAACATTGATAGCAACAATGATGTATTATTCCCACAGGTGCTGGGCTGGGAATCAAATATTACCTGCAGGTAAGACCGCATTCCATGATATTGATCTTGTTCATCGATTATGACCTTTCTTCATCTTAATTTCTGATTTTATGTCTTTCCGTCTTTATATCGTTCTTTGCTATCTGAACCAGTCTTCAATTCTCTTTTCCCACATTTCAACATCTGAGTCTTACATGCGTTTGTTCCTGTATCTTTGTTGACTTACTCACTCTCAGCCTGACTTCTCAAAATTGTTCTCCGACACCATCGACCCGGTTTCAGGAGAAGTAACGTCAGGTAACTGCTCGCATTCCACCTGCTCATTTCTATTGTTCAACTTGCTGCGAAAAGGACAGCTGCTGTCGTTCTGATCTGAGTGTTCTGTTTGTAAATTTCTTGTTCGCCTCGTTGTTTTCTCATTGATGTTGAACTCTGCCATGAATCCTAAACGCTTTCCTCAGCTGCCCAGGTTTGGTTGCAAGCAGCGACGCAGGTTATTATGAGATCATTTATCATCATCATCTTTGTCGTCGTCGCCATGATCATTATCACTGCTATCATCATCGTCATCGTCGTCTTCACCATCATCATCATCATCATCATCATCATCATCATCATCATCATCATCATCATTTTCACCTTCATCAGCACCACCACCACCACCACCATCAAACATCACAAACACCACGACCACCTCACTTGCGTCATCTCAGAAGATTTCTTTTCAGATTTTCTTCTCTCTGTCTTTAGCTGAAGGAGCAATGATCACTTACGCATCTTACAATCCTCCTCACTACCCCATCGTCTCCAACGTCCTCGCCGTCGCTCTCACCAACTGTTTCACCGAGTTGTTTGCGGGTGAACGCTATCGTGCTTCAGCTGCTGCTGCTGCTGCTGCTGCTGCTGCTGCTGCTGCTGCTGCTGCTGCTGCTGCTGCTGCTGCTGCTGCTGCTGCTGCTGCTGCTGCTGCTGCTGCTGCTGCTGCTGCTGCTGCTGCTGCTGCTGCTGCTGCTGCTGCTGCTGCTGCTGCTGCTGCTGCTGCTGCTGCTGCTGCTGCTGCTGCTGCTGCTGCTGCTGCTGCTGCTGCTGCTGCTGCTGCTGCTGCTGCTGCTAGTGCTGCTACTCCTTCTACTCCTCCTCCTCCCACCATTCCTGCTCCTGCTCCTGCTCCTGCTCCTGCTCCTGCTCCTGCTCCTGCTCCTGCTCCTGCTCCTTCTTCTTACTCTCCTCCTCGTCATCTTTTCTTCGTCCTCGCGCTTGTCCTCGTCCTGATTCTTCCCGTTTGTCTCATCTTATCGTCTTTCTTCGCTTCATCTTCTCGTTCATCGACATCTCACTGTCCTCTTCAGGATTTTGTGTTTTTTCAATCTTGGGTTATCTTGCCGAAGTCCGAGGAGCAAGAATTGAGGTGCTATATCCCGCTCCCGCTCCTGCTCCTGCTCTTGTTCCCTGCTCTTCCTGCTCTTGTTCCCTCCTGCTCCTGCTGCTCCTCCTTCTTGTCCTATTCCTGCTCCTGCTCATTCCTCTCTTGCTCCTGCTCGCTCTTCTGCTCCCTGCCGCTGCTTCTCTCCTCGCTCCCCTCCTACTCCCTGCTCCTGCTCCTGCTCCTGCTCCTGCTCTCGCTCCCCTTCTACTCCCTGCTCCTGCTCCTGCTCCTGCTTCTGCTCCTGCTCCTCCTGGGCTTCCTCTCACTCGCTTGCAGGAGGTTGTGGCGGCGGGTCCTGGTCTTGTCTTCGAAGTGATACCAGAGGCTCTCTCCCTCATGCCGTCTCCTGTCTGTTTTCTCTCCACAAGCTCGAATCTCCACTGACGATTCTTGTCCTCCTCTCTCCTCCTAACCGCTCCTTTGTCTCCCTCCTCCTCCTCCTCCTCCTCCTCCTCCTCCTCCTCCTCCTCCTCCTCCTTTTCTTCCTCCTCCTTGTCCTCCTCCTTTTCCTCCTCCTTCTCCTCCTCCTCCCCCAACCTTTTTCTCCTTCTCCTGCTTTTCCTCCTTCTGCCCCTGCCCCTCCCATTCGTATTGTTTGCAGACGATCTTCACTTTGATGTTCTTTCTTATGCTCCTCATGCTCGGACTATCGAGGTTCTCTCCTATTCTCTCCTCCTCTCGTTATTACGCTGCGAGTCCCTAACTATCCCTCTTCCTCTTCTCCCTTCCTCCTACCCAGATCTACATGTTTTGGATTCATCCTCATCCTGCTCCTGCTCCTGCTCATGCTCCTGCTTCTTCTCCTGCTCATTGTCCTCCTCCTTTTCTACGAAGTTCTCATTTCTCCTCCCTCCTCCATCACTTCCTGTCTCTCCTCCCTTCTGACCTCTCTCTTTCAGCGCTGTTTCCCTTGTACAAGCTGGTATCGCTATCGTCAAAGACCACTTCCTCCTACAGGGCGACCGTCTCTCCCCCCGCTTACGGTGTCTCTTGCCTCCTTTCTTGATCTCTTTCTCCCTCCTTCTCTTCTCTTCCCTCCCTCTCTTCATCTTCATCTCTCACTCTGTTTCAGCACCCTCCTTAACGTCACTTGGGCTCTTCCTTGTGTCGTCTGTCTCCTCCTCTTCCTGCTGGTAATCTCACTTTCCTGTCCTGTCCTGTCCTGTCCTGTCCACTCTCTTCCGCCCCCCCCCCCCTTCGTTCGGATGATCCCCTAAACTCTAAACCCTAAACCCTCTCTCTTGCTATCCCCCCTTCGTGTCATCCTCCTCGTATCGGCTAGCTGTTCATCTCGTGCTACAGGGCCTTGCGTTCTGCAGAAGTAGCGCAGAGGATTGGGTGAACCTTATCGACACTTTTGGTATGCGAGCCCAACGTCCGGCTCATCATCATCATCATCACCACCACCACCATCATTTCTCATCCTCCTCCTCCTCCTCCTCCACTTGTTTCGTCTTGCCTCTTCATCTGCTCCCGTCCTCGTCCTCGTCCTCCTCGTCCTCCTCCTCCTCGTCCTCCTCCTCGTCCTCCTCCTCCTCCTCCTCCTCCTCATCATCATCTTGCTTCTCTTCATCACTTTCTCGTTCTTCTGCTTATCTCGCTTCTTGCAGTCTCCAACTTCCTCATGACGCTCATCGGCGGCATGGAGTTCGTGTCGGTCGCGTGGATCTTCGGGCTCAGAGACTATTCGACATTGATGAAGCACAGGATTGATTGGGAGGTGAGGCAATAGGAGCAGGAGCAGGAGCAGGAGCAGGAGCAGGAGCAGGAGCAGGAGCAGGAGCAGGAGCAGGAGCATAATTTTAGTGGTGATTACAGTAGTAGTAGTAGTAGAGAGGAAGCGGAGGCGAAGGGGGTGGACAAATAGATTGGAATAGGAGGGAGAAACTCTGATATGGTAGCAGGTGAATCTTTACTTCAAGCTCGTCTGGAGATTTTCCGGTCCTGCTGTTCTCGGCATCATGTTTGTGAGTCCTTCCTCCTCCTCCCCTCCCCGACCCTCACTTCTGCTGCTCCCCCTCCCGCTCCCGCTCCCCCCCCCCCCCCTCCGCTATCTGGCTCCTTGCTCCTGCTGCTCCTTGTTGACTCTCCACAGGTTGCTGGAGTAGCAGGAGCCGTCAGGCATCCTGTCACTGACGTCTGGTGGGCTCTCATGATCGGTTGGTCGATCGGTAAGCTACTGCATCCTTCCCCTCCCCCTCCCCCTCCCCCTCTCCCTCCCCTTCCCCTTCCCCCTTCCTGTTCCTGTTCCTCTACTGCTTCTGCCGCTGCCGCTTCTGCTGCCGTTCCCCTTCCCCTCCCCCACCACCAAAGTTTCCTTTTTCTCGTGCTCCCCTTCAGCTCCCATCGCCTCCTTCCCCACCTTCCATTCCCCCGTCTTGTCTCCTTCCCCCTCCCTCCCCTCCTCCTCTTACTCTCCTGCAGGAGTTCTTCCCGTCATCGTCTTTCTCGTCCACGCTCTGCTAACGCGCGACCATGAGGGAAAGCGACTCGTCCTTCCCAGGTCAGACCATGGCCACTTGCTTCTGCAAACTGACTCTTTCTCCCTCTCCTCCTCTTTCTCCCTCCTCTTCGCCTACCCTCTCCTACTTGCTCTGTTGCTCCTGCTCATCATCTTCCTTACTCTCTTCCTCTACTTCCTCCTCCACTTCTCCCTCCATTACCTCTCCTTTCCTGGCCCTTCGATCACTTTCTTTCTCCTGCGCTTCTCTCAAAGTTTTCGAAGTGTGAGCAGTTTTAGAACGGAGGATTCTGAGGCAAGTCTTTCTCCTCCTCTTCCTCCTCCTTTGCTTCCTCTGCCCCTACACTTGCACCTTCTTCCCTTTCTACGTTCCTCGTCTCCTCCTCGTCCCTCCCTCCCTCCCTCCTTCTCCTTTTCCTCCTCCGACCTTTTCCCCAGGCTATCCGCTCTTCAGACGTTGACATGTCGCTGGGTCATCGACACGGAGTGAGCTCGAAAGAATGAACAAGAATAAAACTGTTGATACTATCTTACACCCGATGCAACACGTGGAAACGAGGAGAGGGAGGGAGGGAGGGAGGGAGGCAGAGAGGGCGAGAGAGAGGAACGGAGCTGAGATAGATGGAGGAGGTGGTAGGAGTGGCAAGAGGGCAGCATAACAGAGACCAGACTGAACTACGATGAGAAGGGAGCAGAGAGCAGGCAGCAGGACATAGCTGACATCTTCTCATAGTTTCGATCGCATCGTCCTCGCCTTGGCTTCCTTTGCTTCTACAATCCTCCAGCGGAGAGAAAGGAACCAGTCCAACAGACTACAACACAAGTCAGCCTCCCTCGCTCTCTTTCTGCCTTCCTCCCAGCCTCTCTCCCTTCCTCCTTTTCTGCCTTTACCTCCGTTCAACCGTCCGTGCTAGTCTCTTTCCATGAACCACCCTCTCCACCTCTTTCTCTTTTCACCTCCTTCTCCTCCTCCTTCTCCTCCTCCTCCTCCTCCTCCTCCTCCTCCTCCTCCTCCTCCTCCTCCTCCTCCTCATCATCATCATCATCATCATCATCATCAT